CCCCAGTTGCCCCCTGGGGGGTTCCAGTTGCCCCCCAAGCCCCCCCCAAAAGAAGAATCCCCCCCCTGTGCTGGTCCAGGCCCTTTATTGGGGGGTCTCTGCTCACACCCTACAACAGAACCAAGGGGGGGTCACAGGGGGGGTCTCAGGGGGGTCCCCAGGCCGGGGGGATTTCGGGGTGACCCCCCCGCCCCCCCCAAACTCACGTGACTGCCCGGAAGGCCCTTTTCTCCACGTATTTCACCCGGTACCTCCTCTTGAATCTGGGGCAAAAACCACAAGAATCGGGTCAAAACCGCCCCAAAAACTCCCCCCTCCCCCGAAATCCCAAATTTTGGGGGCTCCCCCCGAATTTTGGGGGGTTTTTGACCCCCCCCAGTGACTCACTTGGCCCTTTCCCGGGGCTCGATGAGGTTCCTCCTCTGGAGGCTCTTGAAGCGATCCCGGAGCAGGTGCCCTTCAGGCTGCAATTCCAGGGGGAATTCCCAGGTTTTTGGGGGCATTCCCAAATTTTTTTGGGGCGGTCCCAAGTTTTTTGGGACATTCCCAAGTTTTTTTGGGGCGGTCTCAAACTTTTTGGGGCGTTCCCAAGTTTTTTCAGGCATTCCTAAACTTTTCGGGGCGGTCCCAAACTTTTTGGGGGCATTCCCAGGTTTTTTGGACACTGGAATTCTGAGGGAATTCCCAACTTTTTTAGGGCATTCCCAAGTTTTTCAGGGTGTTCCCAAGTATTTTGGGGTGTCCCCAAATTTTTTAAGGGGTTCAGAGCCCCCTCCCCACCCCAAATTTTGGGCTCCCACACGCTCAGCCCCTGAAGTTGATTTGTGTTTCTCCTCCAGATGTTAGAATTTCGGGAGAATTCCCAGATTTTTTGGGTCATTCCCAACATTTTTGGGTCATTCCCAAGTTTTCTGGGGTGTCCTCCAATTTTTTAAGGGGTTCAGAGACCCTCCCCACCCCAAATTTTGGGTTCTTGGCCTTCTCAGCCCCCTCAGTTCATCATATTCCTCCTCTGGAACATGCAATTTTGAGGGAATTCCCAGGTTTTTTTGGGCATTCCCAAACTTTTTGGGTCATTCCCAAGTTTTCTGGGGTGTTCCCCAATTTTTTAAGGGGCTCAGAGCCCCCTCCCCACCCCAAATTTTGGGCTCCCAGCCCCCTCAGTTCATCATATTCCTCCTCTGCAGACTAGAATTCTGAAGGAATTCCCAGTTTTTTTGGGGCATTCCCAGGTTTTTTGGGTCATTCCCAAGTTTTTTGAGGTGTTCCCAAGTTTTTTGAGTCATTCCCAAGTTTTTTAAGAGGCTCAGAGCCCCCTCCCCACCCCAAATTTTGGGCCCCCTCAGCCCCCGGGGTCCCGACCACTCGCCGAGGCCCCGGGACCCCCAAATCCTTCACATTCCCGGGAATCCTGGGGAATTCCCGGGAATCCTCGGAGCGCAAGGATGAGGCTCATCACGGGGGGCTCCCACCCGGCCCCAGGGGGGGTTTCCCACCCCCAAAACCCACCCGGAGGCTCCTCAGGGACTCGGGGAGTTCCTCGCTCAGCTGCACCTCGGGCCCGGAGTCCTCGTACCTGGGAGGGGGGAAAAACACCCCAAAATCGGCTTTTCTGACCCCAAATTGGCTTTTCTGACCCCAAAATTGGTTTTCCAGTCCCAAAATTGGCTTTTCCGGTCCCAAAATTGGCTTTTCCGGTCCCAAAATCGGCTTTTCCCACCCCAAAATCAGCTTTTTTTTTTCCCCCCAAAAAATCCTTTTTTCCCTCCCCAAACCCCCCTTTTCCCCCTTAAAAATCTCTTTTTCCCTCTCCCAAATCCCCTTTTTTCTCCCTTTCCCTCCCCAAAATCCCTTTTTCCCTCTCCAAACCTCCCTTTCCCCCCCAAAAATCCCTTTTCCCTCCCTTTTCCCCCCAAAATCCCGTTGTTCCCACCTGACCCTGCCGAGTCTCCATGGTTCCCACTCTTTCCTCCTCCTGTTTTGCTCCCGGAGCCGTTTCCGTTCCCGTTCCCGTTCCTGGCGCTGCCTCAGGAACCTCCGGAGGCTCCGCAGCCGGAACAGCCCCTGGAGCCGCACGGCGGCCAAACGGGAACGCACCCGGAGCTGCCTCTGGAACACAACAAATCCCAACAAATCCCACTGGGATCCATCCCAATCCTGATCCCCCACTGGAACAGCCCCTGGAGCCGCAGGGCGGCCAAACGGGAACGCACCCGGAGCTGCCTCTGGAACACAACAGATCCCAACAAATCCCATTGGGATCCATCCCAATCCCCATCCCAACAAATCCCAGTCCTGATCCCAACCCTTCAAATGCAGCCGGAACAGCCCCTGGAGCCGCACGGCGGCCACGCGGGAACGCACCCGGAGCTGCCTCTGGAACAGGACAAATCCCAACAATTCCCAACAAATCCCACTGGGATCCATCTCAACCCTGATCCCAATCCTGATCCTGATCCCCCACCCGGAGCTGCCTCTGGAAGAGAACAAATCCCAACAAATCCAATCCCGATCCCAATCCTGATCCTGATCCCAACCCTGACACAGAGGTGCCTCTGGGGGAGAACAAATCCCAACAAATCCCGATCCCAATCCTGATCCCAATCCTGAGCCCCCACGCAGAGCTGCCTCTGCCAACAAATCCCAATCCTGATCCCAATCCCGATCCCAACCCCCACCTGGAGCTGCCTCTGCCAACGAATCCCAACAAATCCCAGACCTGACCCTGATCCCAATCCCGATCCCGACCCAGAGCTGCCTCTGTGGGATCACAACACATCCCAATCCCAATCCCAATCCTCATCCTGATCTTGATCCCAACCCCAACCTGGACCTGCCTCTGCCAACAAATCCCAATCCCGATCCTGATCCCACCCCCTCCCTCAGGGATCAACCCCATCCTGATCTCAATCCCAATCCCAACCCCTCCTCAGGTCCCTCCTGATCCCGGCCCCCCCCGCAGGGAGATCCCAAACATTCCCATTCCC